GTATCCACGCCTGCACACAGCACGGAATCCAAACAAATGGTCGTGTAAAGAAATACATGATAGGTTTTATAGAATTTCCTGAGAAAATCATGTTGTGCATCTAAAATGGTCTCTAACACAAAGAGCATTTCCAATTGTTATCTTCTAGGGTAGACATAGAAACATAAAAGCAAATATAATTTCAATATGTAAGTTTAAATGCTAAGTGAATATTGAAATAGGAGCCAAATCCTGAGGCATACAAAAGCTGAGGGACTGAAAGAAACGGAGAGACTAGACATCTGTTCTGAGCCCTCAGCTCAGTGGCATAAAGACTTTAAAAATTAACGTGTAAGCTGATTGAGTGATGCTCATCAAGTCCTGTCACGGAACTCTGCAAGCAAGCATGAATGGCTTTTACTTATGATCCCTGTCAGTCATTTCCTAAGTTAGCCACATGCTAAAAGAACAGATTTTATTCATGAAAAGGACTAAGCAGTTGTTGGTTGTCCTTCTTCCTGTGGAATTCTCAGTAGAATGAGAAAGAGACATAGCAGTAAGATGAAATTCAAATGTCTGAGTCTAGAGAAAAGGCAAGGCCAGCAACTACAGCAACAGGGAGACCATGTTCACTAACAGAACTGGAAAACCACCTCAGCAGCCGGTAGGTGTGCAGCTACTGTATTCCTGGAAGATGCCATCCCTTCCTTTTCCTTATTGTGTCATTTGGTTTGTTTTGCTTTCTGAGACAGTGCCTCTTTATAGCCCAGGCTGGCCTCACACTGGCTATATAGCTGAGGCTGCCCTTGAACTTCTGATCCATCTACTTTCAACTCCCAGGTAGTCCCTCACTCCTTCATTCTATCTTATGCTGAATAATGACATGCTCATTTTTTTCAATTCTTTTTCTGGTTCTTATTCTCCTAGACAGCCAGAAAGTAAACTTACTGAAAAACCAGAAGGAATGTGATGGTATCTGCTTAGGAAATAAACAGATTTATCCTGGTTTCTAATTGCTTCAGCAGTGAGAGGACGATGGACCTCGTGCTGGAGATGTGCAACACCAACTCCATCCACTGGTGTGGGATTTCCGGAAGACAGCTGGGGAAGCTGCACCCCAGCTCCTCGCTCTGCCTGGCCCTGACGCTCCTGTCTTCAGTACAGGGTCTCCAGGTATATCCTCCTTCAGTCACTTCAACGGGTTGGGCTAGGTCATCATTTCTGATAGCTGTATTTTCCATGGTAATTATCAATGGGCGTGGTAATTATCAATGGTAATTATCAATTAACATGGAGGTGCATCTCATATTCTCATTCTCTCTCTCTCTCTCTCTCTCTCTCTCTCTCTCTCTCTCTCTCTCTCTCTCTCTCTCTGTAGAGCGTCTCTGGCTTAAGACTCACTGACACATTTTTAAAGAGAACATATGAGTATGATGACATCGCGCAAGTCTGCGTGGTCTCTGCTGCCGTGGAAGTGGAAGCCTAAAGAAAGTTCCTAATGTCAAACTTCTTGTTTAATCACAGAAATGCTCTCCGTATTCTGTCAGCTTTGTGCAACGATCAGTAGAAAAAATAAGTATATATTATTTAAATTTGTTTCCTGTAAAACAGTTAAATATTAAATGTTTATTGTAAAAACACTAGCTTTAGCTTGTGAATTATATTCTAAAGGAACAAAACATTTCTGTATTTTCTATACATATTTTGTGTCCTTTAAGATAACTGTCTTTTTGTTTGTTTGTTTTCAACAAGCTCATCTTTCAGGCTTTTTGTCTAACAAGTATATAAAAAGCAGTCAGCAAACCTTTTTGTAAAGGGCTGGGTATCAGATGTCTTCAGCTCTGTGGATAGATGAATTCTGCCATCTGAGTAGACTAACAGGGATGATGGCACCTGCTTGCTAGGGCCCCTAGGCTACATACTAACTCTGTCTGGAAGATACCATTTGTTTTAGGATTATCAGATTTTCATAATACTTCACATAGAAATTTAGTTAATCATAGTCAACTACAGTCTCTTTCCTAGGTGCTTAGTCAATCAATAGAAGAGAAGCCTATTTGAAACAATTCAGGTCTTCTTCCTGCAACCTGATTATTTCCTAACTCACACAGGATAAACGGTTTTAGTTGTTATCAAGATCATTGTATGGGTGCATCTCTGTCTTAGTGTACACATACCAACACACATTAACAGACACTCAAGAGCAGGCCAGGATTGATTGACTCAGTGTTTTACAATATTAGTAATTATTTAGCATTAACCTAAAGACTTCTAGGGGGTTTTCCCCACTGAAGAATGAAGAGCTAATTTTCATAATATATATTTAAATGATTCCAACCTCATATCTGATTTGTAACTCTATCATGTACTAATATGAAAGATTTATTGTCCATGTAATCACAACCATTCATGTCAGGAACAAATCAGCAATAAAACTAAGGCTTACAACAGCTTTGCAATAGATATGTAACAAAATGTTTCCCTATTTGTCAGGGAAACAAAGAACCTGTTAAATAAACTTCATCCTATTTTGGCGAGTTGAAAGTCCCCACTATATATTAAAAATATCAATCACTCTTTACAATGGAGGACTACATTAAGTCAAACACAAAACCTGTTTTCTTAAATGCATAATTATTTATTGCCATGACAAATTGTTTGGTCCAAAATGAATATTCAGAAGACTTGTCTCTTACATTAGTCATGATCGATGAATGTCTGTGCAAAACAAGATACAAGCAGTGAGAACTGAGGTCCGTTCGTTTGGGATGACAGACTGGTCAAGTTGGTCTTCATCAGCATCCTCTCGTGACTGAAGCACTGTTTCATTCAGTCAGAATGTAAAATTTATTCTGCTATATACTTTCAGTTACAAAGTCTCTTCTGCGTATAAACAACATAGCTATGTACTATTCATACTTTAAATAAGGGATAGATAATGCCATCTTATAAAGAATCTGAGTCAACTATTATAAAAACTAGATTGATGATTTGATACAGTAAATGAAAATTCTGTTTCCATAAAAAAGGACATGTTGGGTTTTGCATAGCACGGTAACAGCTTCAGCTACTCCATGAAATGGGTTCATGGAAGTCAGGCATTCCTAATTAGAACATATGGAAGTATTCAATGCCCTGTTTCTCTTAGCAAGTGTGTATCCTAGACAAAGGGAAGAATACCATGAAGAGTCTTAAACTTTTAAGACACCTAGCACAAAAAATCCTTAAAATAGCTTGCAATGTGATGGACAGACCTGAAGAGTAAAGGGTGTCCTGAATAGAAAGAAAATCCCTGGAACTGGGAGGCAACATCTGGCTGTCTATTCCTACCCAGAGAAAACTAGAAACATGAAGTGGAAGACCACCTGTTCTGTATTTCACATAAGAACTGCCTTCAGCGAGGGGCATTAGCACATGAAGACAGTGTTCCAAAGTTGTTCATTCTCACCAGAGTATTACTGCTCACATGAGTTGGGGACTGTTTCTTCCTTGTCAGTTTTCCAAAAGAGTTATAGAGAAGGGATATCATTCTCCTCAGACCACTGAAATCAACTGAGCCTATCTTTTCTTCTTTTTCTTTCTTTTTTTTTCTTTCCTGGAAGGTACTGAAATTTTTAACAGAGACAGGCCTATCAGCTTATCTTCACAAAGATTTGTTTCCCAAAGTCATTAAAGACAAAAATCTAGAGCAAGTCAAGGGGTTTTCCCCATGTCCATTTTGTTGTTATTTGGGTTGTTTTCTACTGGGGTGTCTTTTGGTTTTGGTTTTGAGACAGGGTTCATGTAGCCCAGGCTAGCATCATACTTATTGTGTAGCCAAGAGTGATGCTGAATTCCTGGTTCTGACTCTACATCTCACATGCTGGGACTCCAGGTGCACACTGCCATTCCAGTTGCATGCAGTACTAGGGAAGAGGTAACCCAGGGCTTCATGGGAAGGGGTAACCCAGAGCTTCATGGGAAGGGGTAACCCAGGGTTTCACACATGCTAGACAAGCACTATCGATTGCTCTGTTCCCAGTCCCTCTGGTTGTCCTTTAACAGCTCCAGGATCTGTTCCATGGTGCATCTCCTCTTTGTTCCTACTTGTTTCCTTTCTAATGCAGTGATGGGATAGAAACCCTGGTCTCATTCTTGACGGCTCTCTGGCACGTCTGTCTCATACTGTTAATTTGTATTTTCTGTTTCCTAATTGATACACCAAGGATTCACCAATTTTATTGAACTAAAAGCATGTTCTAGGATTATTAACATATTCAACATTGGATGACTGGTTTTTACTTAAATGACAATTTTTCATTTTCTTTGATCACTTTATAACTTTTATGCAATCAATGAGTGCTTCTCTCTGTAAAGAACACTAGATGCTGAGCAGAACAGCTTACACAACAGAGTTCGCCGTCAGAGGCCCTCCTAGTTAAGCCCTGTTCTCGACCAGAACCCAGGTGCTAGCTGGCTATTTGAGGAGAGATCTCTGACCTTCTGTTATTTTAAAGTTGAGTCCTAACTGCACAGTGTACTGTTTAAAATGGTGATTTAGGCCAACCATGATGATAGGACCCTAAACCTGAATTTGGAATTAATTCCCCTCACTTGATGTTTATAGTGAAATTACAGAACCAATGTCTCAGAAAAGGCAAAAAATGAGAAAAAGTTTTGAAACCTCAAGATACTAAATGCACACTTTGAGAACAGTGTGGGAAGGCCCCACTACCCCCCTCAATTTTAAATTGCATCCTTTTTCACCTTTCCCTTAGCACTTGTAATTACACACCAGCCCCACTCAACCAAGTTTTTGGTTAATAAGCCAATTCTGTTTGGAAAGAGCTTTCCCATCTGTCAGTGCACAGAGAGCCCTGCCATTAATCTCCTTGTGTCATTTTTTTCCTACTAACCACATTCCAGACACATAGTATGGCATCCAATTTAAAATAAGATATTAGAAGTCTCCTGTTATGTTTAAATTGCCACAAATTGAAGGTAAGCGTGAGACTGACATGCAAGCCACACCACCACAGGAGCACATAAGTGAGCACTGTTAGAGATAGATGCTTCTGTTAGCCATCAAATAATGGTAAAAATAATCATCGTCGTCGTCGTTGATGGGCACATAATTAAATTCCACTTAGGAAACCCATAATCTGGGGACATGTCAGTGGCTTATTTAAATGTAACTAGATACTGCCCTAGGTAAGTTTACCAGCAATGAAACTGTGACAGTTAAGCTGTGGTCATTAAATGGGCAGTTGTGTCACTGACCTGACCAGCATCATTAAGGATTTCTAAGTATGTTTCATTATGTACTTAACTGGCCATGCGAATGCTATCAACACAAAGCTACAGACAAGATTCATTAAAAACCTATGCAGAAAACCTGAGCATACTACCTTTGCTTTCTGTACATTCACAGTATCTTCAAAGTCTGCGTCACTTTTGACACACACGCGTCACTGATGGTAGCACACACCAACGCTTCTCTTCTGACGTGCTGCCAAGCACATTTCTAAACTACCATTGCCCCTCTTAAAACCACTGCCTAGGGAAACCTGCAGCTAAAGAACTTTCCAATAAATAGCCCTCCTATTCAATAAATATACTCTGTACTAAGTTTAATATACAAATATGATGATAAAAGTTTTAAAATGGATGGACCCTGTCCCAAGGCTGTATTCGTCCTTAACAAGGCGACTGATCATTGCTTTCCAAAGGAGTCTGGATTATGTTCAAGTCTGCTTGTGATAAACTATTATCTAAACAGATGTATTTTCTCAGGTTTACACAAGAGACTTTCTCCGTTATTTTCAGACATTGTATAGGGTGGTTCTTGTTACTTTGTTTTTGGCTATTATCTACAAGTGTACATGTCAGAATGTTTGTACTGGGGGCGAGGGTCCTGGTCAAGTCAGGAGTGTTCTTCCGTGCTGCTGCTGAAGGACCTGCTCCGGATGTGATTTCTCAGCTGCTCTATGAGTTCAGGATTCTGTTGCTGTATCTGCTGTGCAAACTGCTGCCCCCTGCAGGACAAAAGCAGAATAAACTGGGGACTTCCCAGTCAGAGAATACTATTCCAAACTGAACTGGAGATGCTGTAGGACTTTCAAAGGGAATTTTTCCTATGAGCACAAGTTATTACCACTGTTCCACAAAGCGCTATTACAGGGCAGAGAGTTCACATGGGGTGTGCGTATGGTGTGTGGCCGGCTGTGTGCATTTCCTGTGTTTACTGGTGCACATGAGGGCAAGTCCACAGTGGAGGTCAAAGGACAACTGCTAGTATTGTTCCTTGGGTGCAGTTCATCTTTGTCTTAAGATAGGGTTTATTTACTGGCCAGAAATCTCTGTTGTAGGCTAGGCTGGCTCACAGGCCTACAGGCCCTGGGAACCCTCTGTCCCTAGTTCCCCAGCACTGGAATTACAACATGTGTCATCACTGCCAGGTTTTTTGTTCTTTGTTTTCAATTTCATCAGGGGATAGAACTCATGTCTCCCTGGTAGCAAGGCAAGGTCTACCAACTGAACCATCTCTCCAGCCCAGGACAGTTCTTTCCTGAGCAACAAAACATCCTTTGCTTATTAGCCTCTTGTTTAGAATGAGAAGGAAAACAAAACACTGAAGATGAGATAAGTGCCTGAATTGGACGCAGTGTATATGTCCACTATTTAATCAAAGAACTCTAAAGCACGCTCTTACAGTGTACCTGAAACATACAGTGCACCAGTCTTCCTACTTTCTCAGGATAGAACATAACATCCCCCTGGCTGGGATCCTTAGAGAGGTCAGTGAAAAGTGATTTTTTTTTTCTTTTGGTTTGTTTCAAGACAGGGTTTCTCTGTGTAGCCATGACTGTCCTGGACCTCACTCTGTAGACCAGGCTGGCCTCAAAAAAGTGAGGATTTTAAGTTTGTGTGTGTTTGCGTGTGTGTGTGTGTGTGTGTGTGTGTGTGTGTGTGTGTGTGTTTATATGCATGGCTGTGCAAATGCACAAACCTACCCAGAAGGGATGTCAGGTGTCCTCCTCTGTCATTCCCTATCTTTCCCCAAACCTGAACTTGCATTTTCTTAAATAGGCTGGAAGCCAGCAAGTCCCAGCAATACCCCTGTCTCCACCCCTTTGGAGCTAAGGCTACAGGTGTGTATGGGATGCCCAGATTCTTACGTGAGTGTTAAGATTATTATTCTCAATATTATATGGCTAGTGCTCTTAATCTCTGAGCCATCTCTCTAGCCCAACAGAACACTTTCCTAGCATCCCTACGGCTCTAACTCCAGTCAACACCTCATTAATTGCAGTCATACACAATTTTGAAACAGGACGGCAGTGCGGATCTACAATTCCAGCACTGGGGCTGGAGAGATGGCTCAGCTAGTAAAGGCTAAGCTCACAACCTCCAGCACTAAGGAAGAAGAGGCAAGAACAAGAGTTCAAGGCCACCCTCAGCTATGTAGTAAAATCAAGATCAATGTGGTCTTATAAGACCCTGCCTCAGAAAATAAAGAGTTTAGACAGTTGTAGAAGCCACCATTGAGGTTCCTTGGGTCTATTCACTTTTCTGAGTCCTGATGAAACTTTTGTTTCTGTCTCTTTCATTTGAATGCTGTTCAGAAACTATGCAGAATTTTTCTGTTACTCTGGACTCCCTAGTCTTTCGCTGAAGCCAGACTCCCCACCATTTTCCTGTGGAGTTACTGCCATGTGGCTGACCTCCATGCTGGCTTAACTCAAACAACAATGGGTTGGGTTTTTTTTTGAGGGGGGGGTAGGGGGCTGGTCTTTTTTGTTTGCATGTTTATTCTTATTTTTCCTTCTCTTTTCCATACTTCTCCTCTGAGCAATGGCTGAGATTTATAGCTTACCTGTCCTGGTTTTTTTTTTTTCTTTAAACTATAATAAGATGGTCCTTGAAATTATAATAAAATAAGTCCTTCATTTGTGACCTCAATCACATGTATTAAGCATGATGATCATGCCACTTAAGGATGGCTCTAAAAATTCAACACTGTAAGTGGTGATTGGTTTTGAGAACAAATTATAAACTTGGCAGGGGCAATATCAGACACATATTCAAGATGCAATGTCTTGGACAACTCTGATGGATAGTAATGTGCTTAAGAGAATGGAGTCAGTTTCCAAGTGTCCCAGAAGCTTGACTGTGTTTCCTCAGTGTTCCAAACATTAATAATGTAACATGTAACATGACCTTAAAACTCATTTTACTTCCTTACTTTTGTGGAACTAGGGATTAAACCCAGTGAGGAAACTACCAATAAAGCAAAGGTGATTTTAAGCCAAGTATGGGGCCCATGTTTGTAATCCCAGAACACTCAGGAAGATCACCTTAAATGGGAAGTCAATATGGGCTACACAGAAAGACTTTGTTTCAAAAAACTGATTTTAAAATATGGATCTGCACCTAATTAATACGTATTTTCAGTAGACATATGACTACCATGAGTAAATCCCAGAGTAGTAGTCATTTAAGCTTACAAAATTAAAAAAAAATAAACTCATTGATGAAATTGAAGGATTAATTGCTTTAAATATGAGATCATGGGTGAGTGTGAATCAATGAGCAGGGCATCCATACTCAGGGACCCTCTGTAAGTATACAGCAGGGCATCCATCCACAGGGATCTGTAAGTGTACAGCAGGGTATCAATCCTCAGGGACCCTCTGTAAGTGTAGGTGACTGACAGTCCTGACATCCCATATGACCCTAAATCCATACTAAAAACAACAAAAATTTAGGTGGACCTCAAAAGACTAAGCTCTTCAGTGGATGTCCAGAACCCTCAGGAAGTTAAGACGTGTTCCTCAGCAACTCCAGCTACCAGTTATGGATGGAAACTACCTACTTTCTTGTTTTTCTTTTATTTGTATGCTCACTGGCTTGTTGCAATGGGGTATCATTATGTAGGCCTGACTGGTCTGGAACTCACAGAAGATCCACCTGCCTCTGCTTCTCAAGTGCTAGAATTAAAGGTCCGCACCACCTCACCAGGGTTCTGCCTACTTTAACTGCTAATGACTCCTGTTAAAGATCTGCTGGAATATGAAAATTATATAGAAAGAAAAAATAAGTCTGTGAGCATGCACGATTTTCCCCAAAACAAAAGCATGTAGAGCTAACCACAGTCCAGGTCTTCTGCATCCCTACCCTTCACTTTAAAGTGCGACTCCAATTTACCAACTTCTTAGAAATGTCGTATGTTTGATTAGGCAAAGCCATGCCCCCTTAGAAACAAACTATAAGGTATCAAATGCATGTTTGTTGTTTCTGTTAAGTAACTTTGTGCTGGCTAGCTTTCTGTCAGTTTGACACAATCCTAAGCATATCAAGAAAGAGAATATCAACTGAGGAGTTACCTCCATCAGATTGGCCTGCAGATAAGTGTGGAATATTTTTCTGATTAACGATAAATGTGTGAGGCTCCAGCACACTGGAAGGAGTACCACCCTTGGTTGGAGTTCTCAGTTGTACAAGAAAGCAAGCTGGGAGAACCACAGAGAACAAGCCAGCAAGCAGCACTCCTCTGTGGTCTCTGCTTTACTTCCTGCCCCCAGGTTCCTGCCTTGAGTTCCTGCTCTGACTTCCCTTCATGATAGATTATAAACTGTGAGCTGAAATCAAGCCTTCTCTCCCCAAGCTGCTTTGGTCGCCTTGTCTCACAAGTTCAATAGGACACAAAGCAGGGCAAACACTCACGCTTGGATAAGGCTAGACAGGTCTGTTAGGCCTCCAACTCCAGCAGCAGGTCCTCCGATGGCATTTGTCATCATCCCTGACATTCTAGGGCAATAAAGAGACATACCATGGAGGTTAGCATATATTCCTCATGGGAAGGAAAAGCCAGTGAAATATGTTGATATCTTCAAAGGGACTGGGTCAAATATGTAAGTTGACCTTCAGTTCCAAGTGACTGGAATTCAATGCATTTTTATCAATTATGAAATAATATGTTTTAATTAGGAGCCTAGCAATGAGAAGGGAGAAGGCATAAAAGCCCTTTATACTTACAGCTGCTGAACTTGAGGGTTCTGCATTAAACTCGCAGCCTATAATTGAAAAATAGTATTGCCCATTAAAATGACAGGAATGCACAGGGATGCTACAGAGATGTTGTGAGGGTGGAGGAATGGAAGCCAATGATGCACATTCTACCACGGGTGGGATTTTAGTGTGCTATACAAAGGAGACGGGACAGTACAAAAGACACGGTGCTAGAAACTAATCAACTGGGAGAATGAGTCTGCAGACAATTAAAATAAGTACACTGATGACTGGAGGGCATTGCCACGACTGATCAGATCAATGGGTCAAAAGAGGGAAAAGAGAAACTTTAAAACTATAAAGATGTAAAACTTAAGAGACACAATGCCAAAGAGATGTTTGTGACTGACCAGCCCATGTTTCTGCTATGGAGACAAGCCCAGACCTTTCTAGCAGGCTGGAGATGAAGGAAGCCCCCCCTCCACTTCCTTCACAGAGCAACAATGGCAGGCTGGTAGATCTCAAAACTCCATGTTAAAGCATGATCAACCGGTCCTTCTGGTATCTTCTTTATAATTTTCATCAGTTTCTGTTTTCATGATTTGGCAGTCCTGAGGGTTGAACCCAGTGCTTCTTGAACACTATGCCTATGTCCTAATGTCCTAACGTGGAACAGTCGTCTCAGCCCTCACTTTGTTTACGTGTTTATATGTTTATTTATTATAGCAGTGCTGGGAAATCGAGCCTAGTTGTCAAGAATGCTATGCAAGTGCTCTGCATCGAGGCCCACTCACTAGCCCACACTGGCCCCTTTTTAAGAGTCAAAGATGTGCTTGTAACCTTCCTCTTTTGCAGCTCCTACACGGTGTGCTCACACCTTATTTTGGTATATAGCAGCTTACAGACTAAATTTAATCTGAAACTAAATTCCATTTTCATATTCTGTTACAGTAATATAACCTAAGTCCTAGAAATGAGCAAGCCATGTTTTAAAACATCAGAGACTTACAGAAGAGCATGTATTTGCCAGTGAATAGGTAAGAAGGCCAACCATATTGTTAAAAGACTGTGTCTTTTGGCTGAACTAAGGATTTAGTGATTGTAAAACACATTTACTTGAACAAAGATGACCAGGAACTGATTCCTAGATTGCAGGTGCAGAGCATATGGTAGAATGTTTGTGCTTTGTGTTTTGGTTTGGTTTGGTTTTTTGTTTTGCCCTGTAGCCAAGGCTGGCCTCAAATTCCTGTGTAGCCAAGGCTGGGCTCAGCCTTCCACAGGCAGGGATTGCAGACATGCACCACCATGCCAGGCAGCAGAATGTTTAGATACAAAGTATGCAGTCAGTAACTCAAAGGCTTAGACCCAGGTAACACCCTATGCCCAATAGCTACTGGACTGAATCATGTTTGTTTTTCAAAGAACCGTAAGGTTTTTGTTGTTGTTGTTGTTGGGTTTGAAAAACAGCGGGAAGGAGTAGAGATGTTGCTTAGTTTCCTAGGATGCATGAGGTCCTGGGTTCAGTCTCCGGCACTGCATAAACTGCCTGAAGTAGTGCATGCCTGTAATCCCACCACTTAAGAGGCCTGAAGAGCAAACATTCAAGGTCACCGTCAACTACATAGCAAGTTTGAGGCTAACCAAGGCAAGTGTGAGCCTGGGCTACATGAGTGTGAGCCTGGGCTACATGAGAGCCGTTTTTAAAAACATAAAATCTCTTAAGACAGAAAACAAGGCCAGCAATATTGATGGGCAAGTCTGGGTAATGGCTATAGTCAAAATCCTCAGATAGCAGTTGATACATATATCTTCCTAGGACCAGTTTTATACAACTTTGGGATTTTAAATTACATTTATTTATTTATTTATTTATTTATTTATTTATTTATTTATTTAGAGAAAGACTCTGTATGTGGGCTACAGTGCTCGTTTAAAGGTAAAAAGGCAACTTGTGGAAGTTGGTTTTTTTTTCTCCACCATGTGTGACCTCAGATCACCAAGTTTGTGTAGCAAGCACTGTTACGTGATGAGCGTCTCACTAGCCTGAGACAATGATTTTTAAACTTTCATATTTGCAAACTGGCAATCTAATGAAAAAAACCACAAGTTTTGTCTTATAAAGTATACATATTCATACAAACACTGACTTTTATATTCCAGTTTAGGAAGGCTATGGGCTTTCTAAAAACACCCTTGCTTCCTCCAAGTTGAAGCACCCCTTTCTTAGCCTCTACCATGAACACCTGCCACTCACCAGAAACCCCTGCATTTGCTTCAAAAAAAAAAAAAATCTGGAACCTGCACTCCCAGTTCCTTGAGAGAGGCTGAGGCAGGAGACTCACTTGCACTCACGAGCTATGGGTTAACTCCAGCAACTAGTGAAAACTTCCATCTCCCTAAAAAGAATGGCAGAGAAGGGTTGCAAATATATAGCAGACAGCAGACAGTAAATCAAAAAGAAGTACACTCACCATGGTGATGAACGCCGGGTTATTTATCAAGCTAGCCATGTCAAAGCTCAACCCAGTTCCTGTCTGTAAAAGAGTTAGAGCTTCATTCCAGCCACTGTGATGTCAATCAATTGTGAGTGACAGGATCTGTGGCACAGAGATAACTTACAGGACTGGAGACCTCTCTTAACTTCTGTTCTGCTATTTTCAGATTTGACTTATAGGAATCATTTTCAGGATCGAGATCCAGTGCTTTCTGGTAGCTTGTAACTGCCTCTTCAAACTTATTCATGGCAGTGAGGGCTAGCCTTTGGAAACAGAGCAGAGTTATGGTAAAGAACAGCAGAAGGTCATGTGATCAGAGTCTTCAGCGCCTTAGCATTCAATTCTAACCCTCATTATGTTATAGTTGAGAGAGAGCACACAATCAGTTCTCCCCAACTCCAAGATTCTATAAGCTTCAGTTGTCTCCTTTCTGTTCCATTACACACGTGTCCACACAGATCATAAACTGAAAGTTGACATGTAAATGACATGTAAATGAAGTAGCTTGCTTTACAAATCTCTAGGCCGAACTCAACCAAGATTTGTGCTAGCAATCCTGTGATCATGTAAAGCCATGCTGCCGACATCCTTTTCAAGAACTCTGATAAACCAGGAATGTCAAACCTTTTGACCTTACAACAAGGCTATCGCCTACTGATGTGTCGGGCTGCATTTATAACTATCCTGGGACACGTGTAGCCCACAGGCCTCAGGTGGAACACATCTACATCTGAGTGCTATGCATCTGAAAGCATCCCACATTTTTCCTTCCTAAAAGACGTGAACAATAATGAATACTAGTTTCCCACTTTTTTTTTACTGTCTCACTTCCTATAGCTTTCCAAAATGATCAAATTAATGTATTTATTTATTTATTTATTTATTTATTTATTTATTATTGGAGAGAGTGGTGCCAAGGGACACATGTGGAGACCAGGGGTAACCTTGTTGCCTCCTTTTCCTTCTACAAGGGCTTGGGGGTTGAACTAGAACTGTCAGGCTTAAGCAACAAGTGCCTTTACCTGCTGACCCAGCTCACTGGCCCCTAGTTTCTCATCTATCAAGTTAAAAGCAGATTGTGGCTGTCAGATGACTAGTCCTGAGCAGCACATTAGTTATTAGAAAAAAATAAGGATCTTCTGTAACCCAACTAATAAATTATCATCCAAGGCACAAGCCTGAGCATTACTGAATTTTAATGTTTATTGTTCCCTACCTATAATTTACTTGAAAATACATGAGAATTAAGCAGCAATAACAGCATGTATAAACAGATAGTATTAAGTATCTTGTTTGCTCTGGAATTGTTTTTTAAACAAATTAATCCTTTCTTTTCTGGATTACTTCACAGACTTCTTACGTAGATAAAATTAGACATTCTTATAACCCAACTAGTTTTCTATTAGTCAACCTTGAAGTATCCTCAACAGAGTTCCTAACTAATCATCAGTAAATATTGAAAGCCTACTATGTACCAGGTACTACTTTAAATACTCAACACTCCACAGTTTTTTTAAAAAGTTCCTAAGTTTAAGAAAATCCCCTTCCACCTGAGGAGCACAGGCAACAAGCATGCATACAGAACAGTTAGTCAAGGAGCATGACAACAGTGCTTGCTCAAAAATGGTCACATGCAGAAGACGTGAATGACAGAAAGTAATCATAGAGAAGTTGGGGGAGTATCAACCCAGACACTGAAGCAAACACAAAGACGCTAAGAAACATGCAGGTTGGGCTGGTGAGATGGCTCAGCGGTTAAGAGCACTGACTGCTCTTCTGGAAGTCATGAGTTCAAATCCCAGCAACCACGTGGTAGCTCACAACCACCTGTAATGGGATCTGATGCCGTCTTATGGGGTGTCTGAAGACAGCTACAGAGTACTTACATATAATAACTAAATAAAACCCTTTAAAAAAAAACCATGTAGGTCTAGTATGCTTAAAGCATAGGACAAAGGCATATGAGGATGGATCACAGGAAATAAAGCAGAGAGAGCAGCTGGCTATGCTGGATCATACGAGACCTCTTTATAGTTCAGAGTTTTTACTACTGTTGCAATGGAATGACTGTTTGAGTCATGCTTTTGGGCTTGGTAGGCAGGTGCGAGACAGGGTCTCATGTGGCCCAGGCTGGCCTCAAAGTTGCTGTGAAGCCAAGGATGATCTTGAACTCACGATCTTCTTGCTTCTACCTCCAAAGTGCTGGGACTATAGGCATGCAACACCACACCCAGTTTATGCAATGCTAGGACTCAAATCCAGAGCTACCAGCATGCCAGGCGATCGTTCTATCTATTTAGATATTCAACTCTTCTGGGTTATACTTTTGAAAGCTCACTCTGTCTTCTCTGCACGGAATCAGCATTGGTGAGGTATAGCACTGAGGCACTAAGCCCAGTTAGGAAGTAACTAAAGCAGAGTAGGTAGGAAACAGCGGTCTGGGCTAATCCTATAAGCAAGCTAGTCAACAACGGAATCTAAGATACACAGGAAAATGAGAGTAGACCAGCTATGCCAGCACAATAGATGGATACAAAACAACTCCTCAGCTTTGGGCAGAAGCAATGGGTACATGAGTTCTGCTAGAAACTTCAAATGAACTTCAAAATGTCTATTAAATACCAAACACAGAGATAAAAAGGAATGGAATATCTGAGTACAGTGTTCAGACATAGAACTTAAGAGTTCCAACAGTACATACAATCGGTCCTCACCCACAGAAATTAAATCCCATACTCTCTATGAACTAACAAATACTAAACAGTGGTTTCCTAGAAAAACACATGGTTAGGAACCTATGAAACTTACTTGTGTTTTTATGGTCCAGGCTATGAAGTGAGTTTACACTTACAGTTTCTTACAACACCCAGTCAGTCTTGAAATACCCTCGGCTGACCTCATCCTCAAGTGTGGGCATCTCTAGTTTACTATATTTCTTTCTATTATATTTGTCTTGTTAGCACACAGGGTACAACATTAGCCGGAATATTCACCATCAAGCCTTAACCACAGCATGTGTGTTCTCCCTAGCAACACCTTGGGCATTGTCTGGGCACTCACCCCATCCTTCCGTAGGCCTTGCTGTATTTTGAATCAATTGCAATGGCTTTCTCACAGTCCTTGATTGCATCTGTGTAGTGACTTAATTTGCTTTGAGCAGCAGCCCTGAGAGGGAGAGACATTACAGTAAGGCAACAGTCCAGGCTTTTCAGGCATGAAACTGCATGGTTCTTGTCCCAATGTTTACATCACTTGTCATAAATTTCTAAGTCAAACTGTCTAATTTTAAGACAATTTAAAAACAGCTTAAAACATCAGAAAGAAAAAAGTAAGCTCGCTTTTCCTTCCCCTTTGCTTTTGAAAATATAGCTGTGTGGGTCATTACAACCCTTCAACTTATTTACTGTCTCTCAATTTGTCTGAGATGCAAACTCAAAACGTGGAGACATCCAGGCCGCTAGGCAGACATAGAGGGGGCACCTGCTACAATTGGTCACTTTAATAGTAAAGTTAAAGCATACCAGAATTTTCCAACTCATGACAACCTCTCCCATTTCTTTACTCCTGACACAGACTAAACTTTATTCCTTCAGACTCTCCAAGGTTATCATCATCTCCCTTAGCAAACCTTGGAATCTACTTTAGAAGAAGGCTGAAGAGACCAACTCTAGATGAACAGTATCTGCCTAGGCAAACTTCTTAGCAATTAGGACCTGCTGATAATAGTGCCAGCTAGGAAGAGTTCACTCAGAGGAGAAATGAGGAAGGAAAAGCAGACCGTAAGATTCACACTCAGAGGCCAGTGAGAAACATCAGCAGCCGAGAAACATCTGCACAAACTTGAGGTCCTTCTAGTAATAAAGGCAGAAAGCCCTTGGGGGGAACAGTTACAAACTCAGAAAGTGATTTAGATTCCTTTATGGTCAACAGACAAAAGCCTACGGCAAACGTCCCCAACTCTCTCCAGCTTGCTAAGTTCTCCCACAAACTGAGAAGTTCAACTCCTCCCCCTTTATCCTTCTCTTAGAGCCATGTCTGTTGTCAATGTTTGTGTGTTTGTTTAACTACCTAGTCAACCTTCTATCTTCCCTGAAACGAATCAACACTAAGTTCTTTCAGAAACTTCCTGGACTCTCTAGTAACACATATGAAAACAATAAAGTGTGTGTGTGTGTGTGTGTGTGTGTATACCTATGTGTGATCGGGTATAGTAGTCAGACACCTTCAGGTGTCAGTTTTTTTACCTTTCTGCCTTGAGACAGGGTCTCCTCCAGCAGGGTAGTTGGCCCTGAGGCCCTAGAGAATCTCCTGTCTTCCCCTCTCAGCCCCAGGGCATGCTGGAATTACAGATGCTAGCACTACAAAGTTCTGGGATCTGAACTCAGGGTGCTTGAGTTTGGGTAAGTGTGTTCTTATCACCAGACTTGTGAAGCAAATGTTTTACCCACTGAGACAGCCCCCAGGCAGGACTAAAACACTGTGTTCCTCACTGACCTCATCATGCCTTAAATGTTCTAATTCCCTCCTGCCATCAAAGTAAAGAGTAGGAGGATCTACTTTGGTCATAGCTAATCTTGCAGTCAACTTGACTACATCTGGAATTAACTACACCAGAGCAGCTGGGCACACCTGTGTGGAATTTTTGGAAGTAGAAGACCCACCCTAAATCCAGATCATTTGAAGTTGGTACATTGACCCAAAATCTGAGCTGCATCAGAAGACATGGGCCATGCAAAGGGACATGAAGGAAGGAAGCTTGCTTTAGCCTCAGTCTCGGTGGTGAGTTTATCTCTTCTGTTCCTGAGGCCCTCCTTCCCTTGGGTAAGAGCCCACTTCTTTGGAATTACAACATAGACTGAAAATGGGCAGCTCTCTAAGACTTCCCTGGGACTCCAGCACTAGATTGGGACTGCTGAGACATCCAGTCTTGTGGCCTGAATAATTACTGGAAACCAGAACTTTCTGTAGGAGACTGCCATTGTTAGACTACTCAGCACACAGCCTGTAAGCTACTCTAATAAATCACAGACAGACAGACAGACAGACAGACAGACAGGGGGGGGGGGGGGGGAAGGGAAAGAGAGGGAGAGAGGGAAAGAGAGGGAGAGAGAGGGAGAGAGAGAGAGAGAGAGAGAGAGAGAGAGAGAGAGAGAGAGATTTTTTTTCATTCTATTAATTCTGTTCCTTTGGAGAACACTGACTAATACAATTATTACTGCATTCCATCAACACTGAATATCCAAAGTAAATGGCCAAAATTTTTGGTAGCTCTCCATGAACCGTATTCTATTAAACCAATCCTATAGAAAGGCAGCTAGAAGAGACACTAATAATCCTGGACACTGGGAATATAGACCTTCCAATTTTCTGTATGAAATATCACATCATGTGTAGATTAGTTCTGATAAAAATTTTGAAGATCAGCTTTCACAACTAATATTCACATTAATGGCTGGCATACATGTACTCCAGAAAGTGGATTTTGAGACAACAAAAGCTCATACTTTTGTCAGACATGTAGTATATGTCTTTAATCTTTAATGCCAGCCCTGGTGAGTTCTGTGACTTCAAGGACAGTCCCCTGCCTCAAAGAAAGAAGGAAAGAGAGAGAGAGAGAGAGAGAGAGAGAGAGAGAGAGAGAGAGAGAGAACGAGCATGTATGTACATACTTTTGCCCCGTTTCTGGCCACTACAGAAAACTCTCACACATTGGTGAGTATAGTTCATATCTACTAGCGTATTCTACCAATGTTTAAGTTGCTTGAGGAAAAACAATTCAGACAGCAAACTGATGCCTGAAATCCTGCCAACTCACGTCACTGAGCAAGTAACTTAGTAACTGGCATCTCATCTAGAATTGACACTTCCGGAGAAGACTGAGATGAGGGACAACACTTAACTGTGTGGCTGGCTCTGGCTGTAAATGAAACCCTCCACCTGACTCCCATCAGCCTCCTGCCCTCCACTGTACAGCCACTCCATTCTTCTCCTAATGGAACGTTTCTCATCCACTTGGTACTAAGCATCAAACCCAGATGCTTGCCTGTGCTAGGCAAGTGCTCTCCCACTAAGCAATGCATCTATTGGGGCCATGTGGGTACACAGACACTTTCTAAGAATGGATGTACCAATAGTGAAATACTGTTCTTGCACTTGACAGTGCTGGAGTCCAGTGGGGTGGGGGAGAAAGGCTAGCTGACTATCAGGAAAAGGTGACTCCGGATGTGTTCACACACACTTTTCATCCCAGGAATCAAGAGGTGGAGACAGGAGGATCAGAAAATCAAGGACAGCTTCAGCCACATAGTTCAAGGATAGCCTAAGCTGTATAAGCCTGAGAAATGACAGGGATTTTTCTTCCTTCTTTACGTTGTTTTGTTTATTTCCTCTGCCACCTCTAATTATGTTATAACAAAACCTATTCTTATAAATATAAAAAGCTTACAGTATTTTGTTTGCTATGTTTTTAGCTTTGGAAAGGGTCATTTAATTGACGTAAAAGTTTGGTGTCAGAGGTCTCATAATTTAACTCAAGCAGACATCAAACATGTTATATAGCCTGGGTGGCCTCACCCTAAAGATACTTTGCCTCAGTCTCTGGAGTGAGAGTATAGGTGTGTGTCACCAGAGTTACACTGTTGTTTACTTATTTAGAGATCAGATCTCACTTTGAATCCCTAACTGTCCTGAAACTTACAAGCAGGCCAGGTTAACAGGGAACTCACAGAGCAACAATGTATTTTGAAAGAAAAACTTGAAGCCTAGGACTAGCTAGACTCTTTGTATGTATGACCACCTCTCCAAGTGCACTATGAAGTGGCTAGTATCATGTTTATTTCACAAGAAATAGTCTTACAAAGGATAGGTGAGTGCCCAAAGATCATACAGCAAATTAGTAGTAGAACTGAGATTCTTTGATCAAGGTCAGTCTCAGGGGACTGACTTTAGGAATCTGCTAGAAAAATGGAAAAGAAAAATGCAAAATCATAGGCCCTTATTCCCATCCTCCTCAGAGCCAAGCTAACTAGATAGTGGTACTCCCCATCTTTTGTTACAATGGCTTGATGATTCTGAATTTTATTCGTACATGCATGTGTATGTGTGATTGTGCTTACATATGCAAGTGGGAGGCCAGAGGACAAGGTGCCCTCGACCTTCCTTTTTGAGATATGGATTCTCACTGGCCTGGAGCTGGCCAAGGAGCCTGCGCTGACTGGCCAAGCAAGACCCTGAGCTCTCCCTATGTCTGCTTCCCCAGCACTGAGATTACAACCATGCAACACAGAACCTGGATTTTTATAAAATATGGGTTCTGGGGATCATCCTCATGTCCTTAAGCTTCCTTGGAAGGTAGTTTACCAACTGAGCTCTCCCCAGCTCCCAGTTTTGTATTGAAACTATGCTCTCCAGCCTGAAAAGTCTTCCACTCTCCTCTGTCTATTCAAATTCTGTGTCTTTCTAAACCACTTCCAACTCTTTCCAAATCACCCAAGTGGATTTCCATACCAGTTCCCTTTCTCCCTATGCCTTAAGTGATTCCCACCCATCCCAGTTTCAAGTACAGACTCAACACTGAGGCTACACAGAAGAAAAGTGAACACCGAGTCTGTGCAGAAACCGAAGGCATACCAAAATGTGCCCACACTCTATCACCTGCTGTTTCATGGACAGAGCTGTTAATGCGGCAAGCTACCTGCCTCACTAGCACTGGAGACGTCTTCTGTTTCTTCACTAGCTCTCTGGTTGTCAAACAAAACCATGGGAGCTCCTGTCAGGCATGTGGCTGCTGCTACAGTGCATACAGGATATGCAAGCCCCAGTCTCTGCCCTTCATGGTAAAAAAGAATGCAAATCCACATCAAACATGAGGGGAAACATGCTAAACCCATGTCAGTATTATTTATGTGGAAAGTGCTACATGCTGGGGGGGGGAGTAAAAACAAAACAAAAGAAAACAAACACACAAAAACATAACAAAAAAACCCAGGCTTTCAAAGAAAGACTGCTGGACTGAAGAGATGACTCTACTGTTAAAGGTGACACTCCCAACCAAAGAGACACAGACAACTCCTGCCTTTCCTGTATCAGAAGTGACCCTATCAACAGCAACCTTCAAAGACAGACTAGAAGGTAAACGGCAGAGAGTTGCACATCTCTACAAAGTAAAGTGTAGTTCATCTCGGTACACTCAGTGTGGGGGACATGTTAATTAGCATTAAACTGTGAAGGGGATATGGAGAACAAGGTCCTTCTCAGAAGTCTGAGCCTCCAATTCTAAGCAGACAAGTAGTAAGGAAAAAGGAAAGTGGTAGTTGGCAAGGTTATAGACATACAGCTTGCTGAATTTACTTAGTGATAATAGTTTCCAAAAATCCCCCCCAAACAACCCAGGCGTTTTATTCAGCATTTATGTTAAGAAGGCAAATAAACCGAACTGTTTAATATTCAACAGCATGCCCTATGACTGAATCCTTGGGGAGAAGGGCCTATTTAAATGAGAAAGAGAAGCATATTCATTAATTTCAGTTTAACAGTGATTAAAAGCAAGAATAAATAGCACCAAAAGTCTCTGAGTATTAGCAGACATAAGAGTATTGGTGAATTCTAATCTCATGAAAAGTGAATTATTTACTTAGGCTCACATTTTTCATGTATTACTCTATAATCAAGCAATTTTACAGTAATATTTATATCTTGTCGTAATGTTTCATGAGTACATGCACACACAAGCACACACAGAGTCACACAAACACATATACACACACATAGACACACACACACAGATGCATACACACACAGATACATAGACACACTCACACACACAGAATAAAAACTTTAAAACATTAAAAAGTGAGATGAGTCAGCACATGAGAGCAACTACTGTGCAACCTCTGAACCCGAGTATAATCACGGGAAACACGTGGGAAGGAGAGAACCAGCTCCCCAAAAGCTGACCTTTGACCTCCCCACTCATGTGTGCACCCTCACTGTCTCACACATATACACATCACACACACAATAATAACTAAAATGATAAATAAATAAATTTAGAAGAACACTAAACACAGGCAGGCAACATTTAAAAAAAAAGTCCTAACTAGCCATTAGACATAAAATACGATAATTTATATGAAAATGTGATTAAAATAGTGAGAATTAATAATTAGAGACCTAATGTTCATAAAAAGTATATCAAATATACATATATCTATTCCTAGGACAGGGAAGAAAAGAAGTTAGAACAATTTTGCCGTTAGTCTCAATTTTTAAAATTTTTATAACTGGCAAATGCATTTTTACAGATAGATCTATTGTCCAGAAAAAAATACTATTAGAAATACAGATGTTCATGGAGTCTAGATGGCACTGGAAAATGGGAACAATTTTAGCATCTACAGAAGATAAAAGGTTAAATAAAGGATACATCTATCCGCTTATTAAAAAAGGACAGTTAATGTTTGTTTGTTTGTTTGGTATAGGCACCAGAAATACAAATGAGAGTAACAAGGTATCAATAACTATTTAAGTAATACTTGTGAAGACTTTCAAAAAATTAGGACATGGGAGCTGGAGAGATGGCTCACTGTTTAAGAGCACTGTCTGCTCTTCCAGAGTTCTCGAGTTCAATTCCCAGCAACCACATGGTGACTCACAACTATCTGTAATGGGATCTGATCCCCTCTTATGACATGCAGGTATACATGCAGATAAAGCACTTACACATAAAATAAATAAAATCTTAAAACAAAGCAAAACAAACAAACAAACAACAACAAAAACAAAACTAGGACATGTTAGGACAGGTGGTGCAGTTGGTAAGGTACTTGCCCAGTAAGCACTAAACCCTGGGTTCAGTTTGCAGCACCTCATAAACTAGAAGTGGTGGGTTAATTCCACACCTCCAAAAGTTGAGGCAGGAGGGCCAAAGCTTAGGGCTATTACCAGCTATACAGGAATGCCTGTGCTAATCTGAGCTATATGAGACCCCAACTCCAAGAGAGAGAGAAAGAGAGAGAGAGAGAGAGAAAGACAGAGAGAAAGACAGAGAAAGACAGAGAGAAAGACAGAGACAGAGACAGAGAGAGGAAAAAGGAAGGAAGGAAGGAAGGAAGGAAGGAAGGAAGGAAGGAAGGAAGGAAGGAAGGAAGAGAGAGAGAAAGAAAGAAGCATGATTATTGCATGCTCAGTGAACAAAATTGACTGCACTCCTACAAAACAAAAAGACTGGTGGCCTCTCCCTGTACATATGGAGCAGATGTAAAGTTTGGTCTTCATGTGGGTCCTGAACAACTGGAATGGGGGCTATCCCTAAAGCTGTTGCCTGTACATGGATATGTCCTTCTAAGTGGGCTGCCTTGTCTGGCCTCAGTGGGAGAGGAAGCGCCTAGCTTCTCAGAGACTTGAAGTGCCAGGGTGGGGGGATATCTAGGAGGGCCATGCCTACTCAGAGGAAAAGGGGAGGGGAATGAGGGAAGGATTGTGAGAGGGAGTGCCCAAGATGGGGGCAGGGTGGTAGTGGGGAGGATGTAAAGTGAATAAGTAAAAAATAAAATTAAAAAATAAAAAGATTGGTGGCCTCTGAATGAAGCCTGTGGCTTTATTCTTTTTTTTTCTCCTTCAGATTATTTTTCTGAACTTTCAAAGTTTTCTCAACAAACACACTTGACATCTCCCTTTCAGAGTTATGAATCCCAGCATTTCAGGACGAACAGACTGACACGGAGCCACTTTACCTGTTGCAATAATAAACCGCATTGTTGGGATCCAGTTCTATTGCCTGCGTGTAGCAGTCCACTGCGGCAGCATAATTTTCTTCTTTCATATGGTTATTGCCTGCAATCAGATTTGGGGACAGGCACTGTTAGCACAAAGCATGAAAAAGTGTAAAGTCTGACCCACACCTTTCTACTACAGAAACTACAACAACATGAAGGTCACACGCGGTATTTTTCAACCACAAACTTGAACCGGGGTCAATTTTATCTTATACCATGGAGATGCTGCTCTTAGTTTCCTGGCGTTTGAATCACTTCAACAATATGGAGTGATGGGAATTAATATTTGCACAACATAAAATTCAGCTGTTGGCAGTAAAGGCAGGCACCGAGACTACGTTATAGATATATATTCTCTCCCTGTTTACTTCCTCGTTCTTCTCTTTAGAGCTGACCATATTCCTCCCCTTCCCCTAGCTATCACCTCGGGCTGGACGCGAACTTCCCCTCTTCCCTTCAACACACACACCTCTGGGCAACCTTGCTAGGAAGGCTGCTAAAAGGAAGCTGGCCAAACTGACTGTGCTAATATGTCTTTAGCAAATAAGATCCTTTTTAGAGGATGGAGAAGCCTTTTAAGGGGATTGCAGGAGATTAATTTCTAGAGAGATGGATTTCAGATGCCATACTAGCCTACTGAGGACTGATTTTCAGGAAGGCCAACTACATCTACAGCTGGCAGTGATTTAACGAAGTAAAAGGAGGGACTCCTCTGCTACCGCCTCGCCCAGAGGGGTGCAGTGTCCAGTGTGCTGGTTAGAACCGCTAGATAAAACTGGGAACGCTACATCTGAGACTGGAATGAAGGACTCATGTCTCAGAGCCTCTGCAATTCCTTGGTTTCCTGTTCACAGCCATGTTTCGTTTGTTTAATGCTTTATAGGAAAGTGGGAGACAACCCTGCAGAGAGCAGGGGCTGGAAGAGTAAAAGAAAAGCAGGTGGTTAAGCGTCCATGGTAAGCCAAAGTGACTACGTGAGGATTCCAGTAACTGCTAATGGGTAAAATGATTAATAACTGATTTGGCCATAAGATCTGTGGATATTATAAGTCAATGACTGTACATAGTAAAAGATCAACTTTGTTGTTGTTGTTGTTTTTGTTGCTGTGGGTCCTTGTGCTTTTGGGTAGCATTTTATCAGCAGCAGCATTAAAACTTTATTGGGGTCTTTCCTATGAATCACCTTAAATGTATAGGTACTAGTGTTTTGTGTGTGTGTGTGTGTGTTACAAATATATGCAAATACTGTAACATAAATTAATGATTAGAAAGCTTCGGTCTATATGACAGTCAATATGCAAATTCAGGATACAAATGAAATCTGTGGATATAACACAGCAATAATAGTATGTGCTATTCTCCTACAAAACCCTCTCCCTTCCTCTCTCAGAGCCCCATCAGGAGACAGCAGCTGGCAGCCCTTGCTGCTTCCTCCTGCTCTTTGGAAGCACATGAAATGTCTGAAAGCCATGTTCCAGGAGGGTCTTAGCTCTCAAGTGGCCTTGATTAACACCTCCAGCCTGGAATGAGCCAACACTTGACAACCTACCATGACCATTTGTTTTCACACAAGTAACAAAAGCTAGACAGAAGGGTCATCGTTTAGACTTTGCCCATAGCATGTCTGACATATGACACATCTCAGTGAAACAAAGACCAAAAGCTTTTGTTAAAGGTGAAAGCAGGAGTGACCCAGTCTCCCCAGCTGTTGTGTTCAAGGAGTCTCATGCTGCCCCTCCCTCTAACCCACACCCTCCTAACACTCATTATGTCAAAACAAAACCAAACAAAAAGCTCCCCAGGGATTACCATTTCCCAAGTCTACCACGCAGAGCAAGTAGCATACGAGACAAAAATAACATTTCAATTTGCCTTTTACTGAACACTACTACTCGAACTGAGCCAGCTGCTGCAATACAAGGCAGTAGAGACTATACAGCATCACCAAAGTGTCCACACGATGCAAAGCCCGAGTGGGAGAAAACCTCCGAGGAAGCTGCTCCAATGAGAAAGCTTACATGAACAATTTGCATCTAAATGGCTGAAATATAAACGCTCTGGGAAATACAGCTCAAGCGCAATGAGTATTGGGTGTTGCTTTTATTTTATGTGTAAATTATGAGGTCTTGGCACTTTAAGATTTCAAGGCACTCTGCTAATATCACTTTTAGAGGAAACAAAATTGAAAACAGAGACTAATCTACCTGATAATGTAATCCTAAAATAACAAGACTGAAGAATAAGGATGTAATGAAATGTACTAGACAATAAACAGGGCAGGTGCCATATGCAGCCATCAATAAACTTCAAAAATCCTTTTAAAACATTTTATATGAAAGTTAAAACACTAAACACTAAAATTAATTTCCTTTTTGGTTAAAAATAAAGGAGAATTGAGTCAAATAGCAAATGCAGTTCAAAGTAAAGAGCCCATAAGGTATTGATTCAGTAAGGCTTACTAGATAATGGCTAGCCTTGATGGCCTTGGTATTGGCAAGGTATTCTGTGTGTGTCACCAGGCCTCTTACAAAGCCACAAGGATGACAACAGTGCAGTCCTGACAACACAAACCATCATACTGACACCTTAGAGCTGTCATCTCCAGAGCTGCAGAAAGTAACCTCCACGGGCGCTATTTACCTTCATCCTTCAGTTGATCAGCCTTTCCCACGTCTTCAGGCACCGAGTTTGAAAGTGGCCGTATGTCATTCTGAAATGGAATCAAAATGTGCTTCCTTTTAGCTACATGAAAAGGCATCCCAAATCTATAAATAGTAATAAACTGCACACATTTTAGTAACTCATCTGTAATTCTATCTCACTAAATATAACACCTGAACAAGTGCTAACAAGAAATGGAATACAGCCCTCTCATGTTCTTTGATTAGAAACATGATTTGTTGAACTCTTTTAGATAATAGCAGGTGCCTGAGAACCAACTCTTTTTTTTTTTTCTAGTGCTGGACATTCAACCTAGGACCTCAGAAATGCTGGACGGTGCTTATAGTACCCAGTGATGGCTTTGTGCTGGAGCACCCAGTGATGGCTTTGTGCTGGAGCACCCAGTGATGGCTTTGTGCTGGAGCACCCAGTGATGGCTTTGTGCTGGGGCACCCAGTGATGGCTTTGTGCTGGAGCACCCAGTGAT